TCTCTCTCTCTCTCTCTCTCTCTCTCTCTCTCTCTCTCTCTCTCTCTCTCTCCCTCCACTCACACACGCACGCTAGAGGCGCCGAGAGGAGCGGCGGCGCGCGTGGCGGGGTCGGGACTCGGGAGGCCACCTCTTCAGGAGCACCCGGCGACAGGCAGCCAGAGAGAAGCCCTCCCGCGTTCGTCGGTACCGGTGGTGCCGCTTGAACTGCCGCCACTGCCGCCGCCGCCAGGAATCACACGGGCTCCTCGGTCCCAGGCTGCAGCTCTTGTTGCCATGATGATGATGTCACGGACGCAACCACTGGGGGAGGGGAGAGGGGGGTGTGCGCGAGTGTGACGGAGGGCGGGTTGAGTAGTTGGGGGAGGGGCGCGGCGGGAAAAGGAGGGAGCAGGGCGGATGCCAGACGGGACACCCAGGCGGGGAGGAGGCGAGAAGGTGTTTTTCCCCCCGCCCCGGGAGAGCAGCGAGGGAGGAGGCTGACGGAAAGAGGGGCGCGCTCCGGGTGCAGGGAAATCGATGATTCGGTCGGTGGGCACGGCAACCTGGGTGAGGGGCGGCGGAGCACAGATCTCATAGATGGGCTCGGAGGGGCTGGTGGGAGGGGGGCGCTAGTGTTTTAGGGCCGTGTGGGCCACTTCGAGGAGTTGGCCAGAGGTGCGCCCTCGTGTTCGCCTCGTGGAACGCCATTTCACATTTTGTAGAGGAGGAGGGGGGCAGCCGCCAAGAGGATTTTTTTTTTTTTCACAAGGTAAGAACCGCCTGCGGGAGATGGGAGGCTCCGGGCTGATCTAGTGCAGCGGCGGGGGGTTGGGGAGGCGGGACGGGCGGGGCCGTCGGCGCCGGCCCTTCTCAGGTAACGGCGCGGCTCGGCGAGGCCGCGAAAGGCGCGCGGCCGCTGGCTTCCGCCTAAGAGAGCCGCCCGTCGCTCCCCTTCCCCAGCGTGCCTCGCGGCCTGCCGCGCCCTCCTCCCTCGCGCTGCGGCAGTCTGCGCCTAGCCACTTAATGAGATTTATTCGCGCTCGGCGCTGCCCAGCTTGGCCAGGGGCTAGCGGATTCTGTGCATAGGGATTTCCCACCACCGTGTTTTTCTCCCCCTCCCTCGCCTTCCCTTTCGCGCACGTATCTCCCTCCTTGGTTTCCTAGCCAGACCCGCAGGGTGCGCCCGGGCACGCGCAAGTACGTGTAAGGACTTGTCCGTTGCGCGTGACCTCCCCGCCGCCCCTCCCCCAGCGGGCTGAGGAGAAAGCCTTTGAAGGAAAATTTGGCCAAAGAAAAGGTCCGTGAAAATCAACGAGTTAGATGTGGCCTCGGGTGTTATTCATTGACACGTTGTAAGGATTTCGTCTTCCATGGCATAAAAGCAAAAAGGAGTGGGAAAGGACCGTTAGAGAAAACAACATCGAAAATCGCGAAGGGACGAAGCAGTGCAGTTAGGGTTTAAAAAGTGGGGATGTAACACAGCTGGGTTGGCTGTAGATAGGAACTGATAGTTTTTGTCTTGGTCTCTTATTGGGCGTGACCTTGGACAAATAATTTGATTTCTTTGGTCCTTTAGTTTTCTCATGTAAAACGAGAGGCTTTGCTCTTAAAAACTAAGCTTTAAGAATTGTTTCCAACAAAAAGGTCTAAACAGAAGGCAGAAACCATGTTTTCAAGTTCAAAATTGCCACAGTTAGGACTCTAGATTGTCATTTTAATGTAAATCCATGTGCATTTTCTGGATTATAGGTTGCCATGTGTTTGAACTAGCAAGAGCTCATGGAAGCATTGTGGATCGTCAAGTAATCAAAACACTCAAAAGAACAGGTCACTGAAAATCTGCCTGTAAATTCCATAACATATAAATGATACTAAGAACTTACATCCATAGAAATTTGAGAGTGAATACCACAGTAAATTAGCCTGCAGTTCTTAAGCTGAAAGCATCATTATAAACACAGGTGACCAGATTTCTACCAATGTACAGGAAATAGCCTAATACTTTGAAGAGACAAAAATCTCAGTTTGAAAAAGCTAGAATTGATTTAAGAATAAGGCGACCATTTTCAAGTCCCAATGTTATAGCCCCAGCATCAGAAAATAGGGGAAATATGCATGTAATGTGCATTTTTTTGTAAAACAAATGTGTTCTCCTTCCCTCCCTCCCCCTCTTCTCAACAAGGTCTAGAAGGCTTCAAACTTGTTGATCATCTTCCCTCAGCCTCCCAAGTACACGAGTCTTCTTACCTCTTGGATCACCATTACATAAGTACTTTAAGAAAAAGTTGTTGCAACCACAATTCAAATCATTCCTGAACTCCAAGGGAAGAATGTTCATTTTTGAGGGAAAACATTTCTATCATTTGTAATTGCATGTAATTTAGTTTAAGTCAGTACTCAAATTGAAAATCTGACAACAGTTCCCTAATTAACCACTATCAAATATGTTTTATAAATACACTCTTTGTGAGGTAAAAAGAAATCCTAGAATTTTGAGTCAAGAGTATGAGAATTTTAATCATTTACTGGCTAAATTAGTTTGTCAGGTCACTTTATTTTCAGTTTATTTCTTCATATCTGAAGTAAATATTAATTTTTTTTAATTTCTAGGTGATGTAATAAGGCTCAAAAATGATGTCATGAAGCCATAATATGGGTAGAAGTTCAGATCCAGAAGTCTAACTTAATCTAGAAACAGTAAAAGCCACCTGGAATTGCCTTTTCTATGATACACGATATGCCAAAATTGAATCTTATACTTAATATCTCTAAAGCATATTCTTAAGTTTTGTTTTGTTTTGTTTTTTTAAGTTTTGTAGCTATTTGCATGGTGGTTTTAAATTAGAAACAGGCATGGTCCCTATCCTTACTGTTCATAAAATATTTTAATCATATATCAATTGGCATTTTCGTCTTCTAGTTCATGAACAGTATCCATTAGCTCATGCTTGTATTTAAAGGCTTCCTGGCCTTCTGTATTCATTCACCCACCAGACTAATTATACTGGTAGTTCCTTATATATGCTATCTTTGCCTTTCTAACTGGAATATCTTCCCCTTGTGTCCTAGGAATAGGTTTTTGTTTGGGAAGGAGTATTTTTGTTCTTAGTACCGGATCTTGAATCTAGGGGCTTCTACATACTAGCCTTGTATATCCCTTGCTCTTTATGTTTTAAGATACTCTTGCTAAGTTGCCTAGACCTTGAACTAGAGATTCTTCTGTTTCAGTCTCCTAAGTAGCTGGAACAACAGTTATAGGCTACCATGCCCAGCTCTCTTGACAAAATTCATGTTTACCTTTCAGATTTTAGCTAAAATGCCACTTACAGTGCTTACTCTGATTTCTCCAAGCAGATAGAGGTCTTATTTCTAGGCTCCTATTGCTCATTATACATCCTTCTATTCTAATGGTTATACTATTGGAATTCTTCATTAGTTTATAATTCTAACAGAATGCTATCTCCTTGAAGGAGAGGGCTCACCTCCCTTTTGTCTTTTTTTTTTTTTTTCTTTAATGTATTTGGTACAAGGTCTACAGGGTCTCACTATGTAGATTAGACTCATAATGATTCTCCTATTTTCAGCCTTCCAAGTGCGGGGATTACAGATGTGCACCACCATGCCCAGTCTCAGTCGTGCCCTGGGGGCAGGGCCAGCATGGCACATTAGAGATCAAACCCTGGCCGCTGTGCTCTGCCTAAGCAGGCACTTTAGTCCGCTGCTATCTGGCCAGCCTCTCTCTTCTTTTATATACTAGCTCCAAGTGCAGCACCTAGAGTATAAGTCCTTGACTTTTACTAAATTTAAAAATCGCTTTCCTGCCCTTCCTAATACCTTCCTACCATACCTCCATTTTACAAGTCAGTAAGAAAGGCCCACAGAAATAAAGTTCACCTCAAATATGTTGCTTTTAATTTATGCTGTAGAAAATCTTGCAACAGCTATATAGTAGACCTTGCTATTGTAGGAATCAACCTATCTTGACAGTAATTTTCATTTACCACTATTCTATGGAATAGGTGGCAGGACATAGTGATTTGACAGAATGTATATTTTCCTTATGCAGTCAATTATCTTCTTTTACTTGTTTTCTATTCTTTTTATCAGGCCTTTTATTTGAACTCATAGAACCCAATTTACTGCTGTAGGAGTCATGCCTAATCCATGTAGTCCAGTGGTTTTCATCCAAGAGTGATTTGCCCTCTCATTGGACATCTGGTCAAATGCTTGGTAACTCTCCTGTCACATCCTAGGAAGTGCCACTGGCACCTAGTTAAAAGGTCAGAGCTACAGCTAAGTATCTTACACGGCCTGCAACAGCCCTTGTAACACAAAGAATTATCTAGTCCAAAAGTGTCAGTTGTGCAGAAATTGATGTGCTCTAAAGGAAACTGTTACTCAGGTCTTCATCCAGTCTCTTGCCTTTATGAAACAATAACAAAAAAGAAACTTCTTCTCAGAGAGATTTAGAAGCCCAAAGTAAGTATAGCAAACATTGCAGGCAGTCGCTGTCAACTTTTCTCAATCCCAAGGGCTTTATGAGGGCTTTCCTAGTTTATCCATAGTACCTGCTTGGGTATAAGGTGGGCAGATAAATCATTGCTTAATTAATAAGATATTTGTTGGCCCATAGGCTAGGGTTTCTTTTTTCTCTTTAAAATCAAAAGTCGTCAATTTAATTATAAGGTCAGATGAACTTCCTGAACAAAAATCTATTCTCTGTTAGCTTTTTAACTGTTTAATCTTCCCAGTTACTGGGAGAAGCAAAATTTTCCAAAACAGCTTTCTCATTTCTGTAAATTAGTAGTAATAGTCTAAAGAAAGGGGCCACTGAGCTTATAAAAGGTAATGTTCTAGGAACAAAACTTAAAGCCTTCTGA